CCGGAAGCTCTGTGCTTTTCAGTCATGATTGTTGTTGGTTCCGACACTCCTGCTGGAAAGCAGTAACACCAACCCCAGTTCCCATTCAACCAAGACCAATGAGAATTTGCTATCCATGCAAGTTCCTACAGTTTTCCASTTTTATTTATGGACCGGAAGCGTTTTCCGGTCATGTTGTTGTTGATTCCGACATTTGTGCYGGAAGGCAACAACAACACCCCAGTTGATACTGTATTGATCAGTATTCCCAGTACTATTCCCCAGTTGAGTGCAGTTGCCTCAGCTGGATCCATCCCCAGTTCTCAAGGACTGGAAGCCCCAGTGCTTCTGGTCACGATTGTTGCTGTTCCTGTCTTATGTGGTGGACAGAAACAGCAACACCCCCAGTATTTAACCTCCTGACCAGCAGTGACAGAKTTAGTGGATTTATTCCCACCAGTTTCTTCAAGAAGATATTCAAACAGCTGCTCCTTTGGGTGGGACCAGCTGTAATTTGGTGAAAGAAGTGTGACRTTTCCTTTTTTCTAYTTTTTTTCTTTTTTTTKMTTTTTTCTTTTTGACTACAAGTGTCCTYGACCACTGTGGTGTCRACTTGCCTTARTTGGCTTGGCAGTGTGCGTGGCACACATTTCGTTGATCACTGTGCATGGTAACTTGCCTACAAGTTGGGGCTTRAGCACCCCCAACCTACRGGCTTGGCAGTGCCMCTTTGAAATGATAATGGCATGGTTCTCATCCATCCAAACTGTGAACCAACTGCTTTTATGTCCTCTGAGTCCAGCCTTGGGCTGTCATTGGCCTATAAGTGTACATAGAACTTGGTTGYGCCTCCAYAAAACCTCCTTGGATGGAGGTGCCGCCCCTTGGAGCAGCTAGTAGCATTCTTTCTAACAAAAGCTATGGTTCTGGCCATCTTAGTGCCTCTTCTAGTTCACAAGGTTAAATATAATTTAAMRATTTTTTTCTTTTTTATGTTGTGCTAAAGCTTTGGTATGGTTGATTGCTACATGCTGATACTTCCATTACTTGTAACGAGTCTTTGATCTGGAGATGTAGGCATCAATATGATCCAGTTTACCATAGGTATGAAGATAAAGCTCTCAAGACTCCTCATTCATTTCAATTCCCCACCATGTCCACACTTGGCTTCCGGCCAATTGCCATTGACACTCTTGCTACTTGTCTTACGGAATGGCTAGACACTGGCACAGTTTCTCCATAGAAATATCCTACATCCCTCCATCCAGTTATTCATTTCCAGAGCAAGATTGGGTGGCACCACGTGTTTGCCGGTCACATTTCACTCCAGTGGTTTACTGATCTTGATCTTCATTCTGGCTCCTATTCCCTGCTCGTGCTGGGGGGTTATCTTGTGGAATTCTTTCTTACCTCTTATATATCATTATGGGAACAGCGAAACAAAGATCTTCATGGCTACACACTTACCCAGAAGCAAGCAAAGCATTGAAAGCGGGTAGTGACGAAAGTCCACACTCTGTTTGAACTGAAATCACAGACATGTCCATCCCACGCCCACCTCTTCCCAGAAGACATGGAAACCTTTTTATCAACTGCATCTACTTCCATGCTCACATATTACCTTCAAGTCTACGAGAAAATGATTCTGGCGAGTGTCACCAAAGCAACACTTGCCTCTGTCTCCAACACCCGCCCAATTACCCAGTACTTTGCATCATTGCCACATACTAGTAAGCAACCACTGGGGAGCATCACACAAGATTCACTGGTCTTTGACGCCTACTCCAAAAAGAAGCAACACAAACAACCTGTCGTGCCAGAGACTTCTTTGGCTCCTCCTGTCAATTCTTCCAGTTTACTTCAAACCAAGCTCAGTCAATACTTTTTATTCCAGTGAAACAAACCCCTGGTTGCACTCCCACTAACACTCCTCAGAGGGAAGTGCCGCCCCTCGGAGCAGCTAGGAGCATTCTTTCTAACAAAAGCTGTGGTTCTGGCCATATAGTGCCTCTTCTAGTTCAYGAGGTTAAAAATAATATTAAGATTTTTTTTCATTTCAATTCCCCACCAGCCACCTCTTCTCAGTTCCCCTGCCCCTTTCCTTCTGGTGAATGTAAAGAGATGAGGATGAAATAGAGTTTACAGATCCTAGATTACAAGCTCCTGTGCTTTTGAAAGAACAATGAACCCTCCTATAAGCTTTGGTTCCTTTGTCAGGATCATCTGCAACTGTCTGTCTTCACTGTAGTTATCATATAGTGTGGGCTACRTTTTTCCTGCCAAACCATTCATACATTTTTTGTTCAGATATACAGGGCTGTATACCTTTCAATATTTGTTAACCCCCTAGAACCCCCCATATCACTGAATTTATCATTTTACTGGGATTTGATTCATGTGTTTATCATTGTTAAGCGTCTGTTGGGGACAGAGATAAAGCTGTTCAAGTGAGTTGAAGCTCTCTTAATGTTCTATGTGTATTTTCTACTGTGCATGGATTTTGGGCTATCTTTTTACCATGTAATGACTTGTGGGATAAAAATTGACTTGTACTAGGGCTACAGGGCACRTGAAAGTGAAACTATTTTGATCACACGAATGTGGGATTCAAAAATTCAAGTAGTACTGAGCACGTGGATTTTGTATGTATTTAATTTTTTAGTCAAAGTAGTCATYACACAGAAAAATAAGGGCCCAAAATGTAAGACTATACCGTACATTTGGTGGCCATGTCTATATGATATGATATTTTGGATGCATCAACTGYTGTGAAGACAAAAATTCCACAGAAAAAATATACACAAATGGTGTAGTTAGACAAGATTTTGTGATGTCTCTTGGTGCGCTTGACATATTTTACTTTGGAAAAAGATTGCCTGAAACCTCCAATTGTATTGTGCATTTCTGAGCCACGTCTATAGGATACAGTCAATTAGTTGGTTGCTGGCYGAGGATAAGACTAGTGACATACAGGTAAATTCAGTCAGCAACAGTGCACCAGCTTTTWTAGCACATGGCAGGCCTCTCCACAATACAACAAGTGGGGGACTGTTCACACAAGAAGGAGGGCTTGTTTCAGGCATTCTTTTGAGCTTCTTAGCAGTTTTGTATCTGAAGATATAGTTGCAGGAATACCCCTGCCTTCAAGAGCAATCCAAACATGTGATACTACTATTTGACAGTRGTTGTGACAATAATTCAGTTGGTTTTGTCATCATGGAAGCCTTCCTTATTACTATTTTTGCTGCATTTGCTGTACAGTCAGCATATTTGGAATTATTGCAACAAAGACAGATAGTTTTTTTTGCCTCTCTACCATTCCCAATTGCAATGTCAATATGTATAAGAACTAYCAATTAGATAGTGATAGTAGTTATGACTGTATGCTTGGATTTCCCTGATAATGCTTCCTTGGCAGTGCATTTGTGATTGTCTTGATAAAGTAGCAACAAGAACAGTGCASTTAATCTTCAAGGACGACAATATTGGGTGAGCTCACAAAGAAGAAGAGCAAGTACTACTACACCTTAGTAGTACTAATTCCTTTACTATCTCCAGGTTAACAGAGTGACTTTGAGTTATCTAGGCCTTGTTAGGAGCTTTCCACAATTAACGCATTTACTGAATTAACCCTTATCTAATAGGTGTTTTGTGCAAAAATTGTAGTAATAACAACTCAATTCCACCCAAGCTGCAAAAAGATATTGAGCATTTTKTGTACTAGTACTAGACAGGGACTGCTGGAAGCACAAGCAGGAACACAGCAACCCATGATGCAATTCTAGTAGAAGTACACAATACTTTCTTGTCAMCCCTTCAGTTTCACTTGTTGTTGATTAAGATGGCAATATTRAATGTAGTTTCACTTAATTGCTGAGAGCRCTAAGGTATYGAGAACAAAAACTCTGAAAAAACCCAGAGATTTACATTCTCAATATTGCCTCATCTCAGAAAACTTAGATAATAAATTCTTGTTAGTAAATTTRTTATCAATGCTCCTTTGCTCACTGGTGCTAAGAAAGTACTATAACCCATAGGAATCAAAACTGTACCTGAAAGTAAGAAAGGTAGGTAACACTGTCACCTGAGTTTTATTGTAGAGTTTCGAATTACCAATCAGGGGTTCTTAGAACTTCTCCTGCTGCCATCATGACTAAATTCATATTAATGAAGGTTTATTGAAGGTAATGAAGGTTTATTGAAGGTACAATGAAGTTGTACCGTATTTGGTAACAAAGATCCACTTATGACTTTCTAGCTTGTCACACTAATTATTAGTAGTATCTTTGTGGCTGCAGGAGAGCTATCACTACTAGTAGTGGAGTAATTATGTTATCTTCAAATATAATCTTCTTGTTCTCATCAATTCTACTTCTAGCACATGACAATCAAGAGCCAATTAGTAGTTCATACTATTGGAAAAGTAGCATTATGCAGCRTTGTCTCATTATGGACAAAGCAGAAAATGACTTCTCCTTTGTCTCCTTCTGATGATAAGCATTAGAGGGCCACCAGATTTCACACAGAGGACTTGAGCGAAGGTAGAAAAATCATACCACAATTTCTCATGCCAAATACATGATGAAGATTTCCTTCAATTTTCTTTCATGTTTTGTTTGTGTTGAAGCAAAGTATGCTATTACCTTTGATATCTTCATGATTCTTTCAATTGAAAAATGCAATATATCTTGCTTAAATGTGCTTGAGAAGTTAATMTTAAATATTTGATCCTATGTAGACCAATRTTTTCACATGTAAGAGAATGGGGAGATAATACAACAGTTTCTCCAAATGTTGAATACCCTAGGTGTTGTATAAATAGAAGATTTTTGTCTTCCTGAGTGATTATGGAAGGTGAAATGGAATCAGGTCATTATTGTAGGACACATCTGCTTAACCTTCAGTTATCAGTCCAATGGTTCATTGCTGATCGAGACAGAGGCTGCATTTTGTTTCATTTTCCACTCAGYTATWTTCTGCAATTTGAATTTTGAAGTTGTTTCATGAAGTGAGTTGTTAGTAGTTAGTTTTTATTTTTATTACATGTGTATTTATTTTTTTATGAAAGACTCAAATGAACCGTTTGTTCTACACAATTTTGTTGTCGTGGTTCGCATTCAATGGGGGTTCAGTGTCATCTATGGTGAAATTATCTGCTGGTGCATTCATATTGGGGGGAGAAGATGGCATTTGCACATCAGACATGGAAAGTGAACCTTCCATTGCTACAACTGGAACCGGTGCAGCTCCAGCGTCATCAGCCTCGGAAAACTCTTCGTCAAACTTGGCATTTCTCTGCTGTGTGTTCCGAGTGAAGTAATAATAGACAATAACCAAAGCTGCCAAAAGAACGGGAACAATGATCGCAACAATTAACGTGATATTTGGCGGCTCACTGGATTTGCTAGACTTCTCGACTTCAATGTAGTCATCGTCCATTTGTGGTTTAGGTGTCGTGGAAGAAAAAACTCCTGCTCGATTGCAACCAGTAATTGGTATACCTGCACATTCCGAGTTTTGTAGGAGACCTCCTTCAYCAGATTGACACTTGACAAATTGTGAATCACAGAAAGCATAGCAATCACATTCTTCMTCGACACTATCCAACAGCTTCTTTGTGCACAATTCGGCGTTTTGCTGAATAGAGCATTTTCCGACGTCACTCGCAGGTGTGGTGGGGGCAGAAGCACCTTCGCAACCACACACAAATGCAGCAGATTTGATTTCAGCTGATTGGGAGGCACATTGCTCATCTGTCAGAGTACCAACAAATTCAGCGTATTCCCCACAAGTGGTTACGTCGGTATCGAGAGTAAGTCTGTTCGCAAACGGTGGATCGCCCCCTCCGGGGCAGAGCGTGCAACTAGGTTCCGTATGGGGACAGCCACACACGTATGCAAAAGCCTGAATCTGTTTGAAGTCAGATGATTCACTTCCGCATTCATCTCCTGGCAAGAAGGAAACGAAGTCATCAAGTCCTTGACAAGTAAATACGTCTGAAACGACCTTGTCAGGGTTGGCGGGAGACCCTCCATGCGGGCAGAAAGAACACTCATTTGTGGGAACTGTAGAAGGGCACCCACAATATCCTTGATATTCCTGAAGAGCGGCACAGCCTGGTGCAGACAAATCACCATCGTTGACGGCCATAAATTCAAAAACTTCCTTGCAAGTTGGATTTGTGTTCAATGGCAAACTCAAAAGTGGAATATGTCTATCGGGATACTTAGCATCGTTTGAATTGTGGTTTACACAAAGAGCACAGCTAGTAGTGGCAGAAGGACACCCACAAAGGAAATCTTGGCGCTTGATGAATCCAATCCTTTCACTGTCGCATTGATCTGACGGTAAAAACGACAGATATTCACTTAGTTCTTCACAAGTGTCACCAAAGGGAGTAACAATGTCTGGGTTCGGGGGTACATCACCACCTGGACAAAATTCACAGGAGTCTTCAGGCTTTGATGCGCCTGGACAACCACAGAAGTCCGCCTGGGCTTCAAAGACATCGCAGTTGTCGAGCACAAGTTCCCCTGGCTCGGCAATGACACCAAGAGTTGCGAGTTGCTTACAAGTAGGATTTTCATTATCTGGTATGATCAAGTAAGGAATGATTGCATCAGGATTGCTTATATTGATGCTTCCATCAGGACAAATTGGGCATGGTGCGGTGGCACTTGCACATCCACAGTAAAAGTCAAACCGCATGAAGTCAACAACCCAAGGCATTTGACATTGGTCGGCTGGTACATGACTCAAGTAGGTTTCTAATTCGCCACATGTCATATCAATCTCCTCGATGTATTGATTCTTAGAAGCAGCAGCTTGTCCATCTGAGCAGAGTTTACACGCATTGACTGGGGCGTTGTCATCGTTCGATTCGCAACCGCAGTATTCAGATTCCATCTTCACAAATTCGCAAGTGCTGATTTCCGGRTCGTCTGTGTCGTACAAAGTGTAGAAATCAGCAAGATCTTGGCACGTTGAGGAGAAGCTGTTTCCCAGGAACTCATAGAAAGGTACCTTTCTGTTAGGATTCGAAAGTCTRTTGTTGTTATCGCCACACATATAGCATTCTGCTTCGACACCGGGACAACCACAGAAAGCATCAGCGCGCTTGATTGATCCCACACGCTCTGTAAGACACAAATCTTCGGGTATCCACTTCAGGTAGGTATCCAATTGGCTGCAGGAGTCTTCGAAGGGTGTAATCGCGTTGAGATTCATCGGAGTCGCTCCTTCTGGACAGAGAGAACAGGCATTCAACGGTCTAGTCGCGGCCCCGGGACATCCACAGAAGTCTTTGTGCGACTTGATTAACGAACAGATGTCGTCATTTAACGTTACAGATTCGTTTGCAAAACTGTAAACCTCTTCACAGGTGGGATTATCGTTCTCTCCAATCGCTAGGAATGGAACAATGAGAGCAGAATTCGATGGTGCTCCTTTGCCCCCGCACATGTCGCAGAATCCATTCTGGGCGGATACGCCATATGCCAAGAAGGTAAAAATACTTGTTTGGAATTTCATCTTCCTCTTCAAGACTTCAATGCAGAGTTGTCTATTCACTTTTCTTTGAGCACCTCAGGTACGAGTAATAGTTTCGAGATAGTATTATTGATAACTTCTCTTACGTTACCACAAGATGATACACGAAGAATATGGAACGTGTAATGACTTGTTACAAGTATCGTACCGTAGTACGGCAGATAGAAGTGAAATGCGAACATTTTAAAAGGTGCGCGTCCTCGATCTAACGCCAACGCCGCCGGCCTCGAGGAATCCACAATAGGCAATATCTTGCCAACGCTCCTCGTTAAACTAAGTACAATTTGTACGCATAATGAACAATACCTAAAACATTACRGAACACATTTTTTAGTCTTACATACTTTATGGCCATGAAACTGAAGCACTGAACCGTACGTACGATACAGTACGTACGTAGTTTCCATAAGAAACAAGTTTGTTGTGAACTCTTTTACCGGTAGGTACAGTACAGTATGAATAGTTGCTACCGTAGTTTACTTTCGAAAAAGTATGGTACGTACGGTAGTACGTAGCGTACGTCTATTCTCTCAGGTTGGTGATAGTATCTGATACAGTAGGAAATTTAATACGTACTCGTACTTGTACAACGATTTGTGGAGTTTCGCACGACCGAAGTACAAGTTGACTTTCATTCGTGAAACCATTGCTTTTGTCGTTTCTCTCTGAATAATTTCAACGCAGCTGAATAATGGGCAGGTATTTCCAACGGATGGGAAAAACTGTCAGCTAGATCCATGTACGAGATTTAGTCCGATACTACTACTACTACTACTACTACTACTACTACTACTATGATTACAAAAACCAATGCTGATAGTGATAACAAATTGTACCGTATATCGAATGTACCATAGTCTTTTGATTCATACTGTGGTAGGATCATTTTAAAATGAAGTGTCTGGAGACATCAACGAAAAGCGTTCATACCCCCTAACGAAGAGAAGGCATCGTCTTTCATAGTTTGTTGCTGTGAACTGCCACCCATGGGAGTTCCAAATCCACCGTCGTCACTTGATTGGGAAGATGCAATGTTGTTTCCCATATTCATGTTTTGCATACCTTTGATAGCAGAGTTCATGTGGTTATTATTGTTTGCCATTCTTCCCATGGAATTGTTYATTCCATTCGGAGAATTGAACATGTTTGTATTATTCATTGCACCAGCATTATTCATTTGAAACTGATTTTGCATTTGTTGTTGCTGCTTCATCATCATCATCTGCCGTTGCATCATCATTTGCTGCTGCATCATTTGATTTGCCATTGCTTGGTTGCTGTTTGGCATCATGTTGTTTACGTTGTTATTATTCTGCATCATCATCATTTGCTGGTGCTGTTGTTGAGTCATCATATTTTGTCGATTACCAAAGGCGTTCATGTTGACATGTTGTTGAGGCATCATTCCATTCATCGACGTCATCGAGTTAGCGTTGAAGCCGCCACYTGGACCCATTTGGTTCATGGCTTGCATGCCGAAACCTGATTGAGGTTGGTTTTGCTTCGGCTTTGGTGACCCAAACAATGCCAAAATGTCGTCATTGGATGTCGTAGTTTTGGTCGCTACGGGAGCAGGATTCTTCATGAGTTCTTCCGCTAGGGTCGCTGGCGTTGTTGCCTGTGGTGCAGACTTTGGAGGTGGGGGGATTGCATTTTTAAGGGCCCCTTGTGTAACCTGGTTGGTAGGAGCGGCTGCTGCCGGGACAAGAGGAGACGAGAATACATCCCCCCCCCCCCTTGCATTTGTTGCTGGAGCGGGTGTGGTTGTTGTCGGTGAGCCAAAGTCAAGTAAGTCAAAATCGACCGGTGCTGAAACTGGGGCTTGAGCGACTTTGGTAGTCCGAACTGTKCGGGCTTCCCTTGTAGCTACGTTCGGTGGTTTCATCTTCGCCTGCCTGTTTGCAACTCTTCGTCTAGCAATATCCGAAGGTGCCCCAGGCCGCACCTGAACCTCGGAACAACCAGCACCAGTTGTGCCACCTGCGACAGGAGCTGCTGATCCACTGTTGAAAGAAAAACCTGCAGGATCGTAAAACTTTCGACGTTCGTATTTGTCACGAATATATCGTTCACGAGTGGGACCATCTGCGAGGTTGGTTGGTTTCGTTCTTCCCGATCGCGCTAGGTTCGCTTCAAAAATTGCGTTTATCTTAGCGTTCCCTCCTTCTTCCATGGCGCGAACCTCCCATTCTTTCCCTAAGAACATGAATCGAGAAAGAATTTTGTTAGGCCTGCGGACGAAAAATAACAACGTGGCTGGAACTATGAAGCTGGGGAGGATTAAAATAAATCTTACACGAGTCCAAATTAATGCTTCTGACAAATGCGATGTGTACTCCAAGTCGTCTGTGTGAACCAGAGCATTCCAAGCAACAGAATAAACCAAGTTTTTCTGTTCCGGGAGGAGCTCCGGGAGGAGGGACAATCAAGGATGCCCASGTTGGCCTTTTTTCAGGACAATCGGAGCACACTTGGTTTTCAGGCCGTTGCATCAACGCCTTGAGTCGCTTTTTCAATGACTTCTGGTCTGCCATGATACCCAATCTTTCGTTCGATCTCAATCCACGGATGTGTCAACTGATRTCACTTTTTCTCATCCCTTCTTATCTCTCCCAGGGTAATTTAAAAAACACTGTATTGTCGTCCTGTTGTTGAGAGACTGGTATGGCTGGTATGGTCGCGGAGGTGCCGTAGCGTACGAGTTACCGTACGATCGTCGACCCAACAGTCATTGCAGTTTTTGGCCAGACATGAGGACAAGTGACACGTACCGTACGGCAGGGGTCATAAATTTAGAGGTACGTACTATTAAGTACGTACTCGTACCTTCGACTTTCGCTGCCCCGAAGCGGAACAGACCAATCCCCTACCGGTACGGTACTCTACATCATGCCATACGTACCGTACGTAACCGTTGAGTAGGATCGAAATTACATGTAACCACGCGCGCTTGGTTACTAAACTGGTACACGATTTGTTGAGCAAATCGCGCGTACAAACACTAGTTATTTTTTGCTTAAGTACATGCACCTCAACCTGGTTACAAAGCGCGCGGACTGAATTTTGTAACCAGAATTGTAACCAAACCCTTCCTTAAGGAGAGCCCATATTTTTACACGATACTACTGCTAGTCTGGTTACAAAAAAACCGGGTTTGGTTACAAAAACAGGCGCACTGGTTCCCTTGTGCGCGCATGTAACCACATGTAACCAGGCGCACTGGTTCCCTTGTGCGCGGTTGTAACCAGGCGCATGCACCTCAACAGGTACACACTAAAAAACTGTCTTCACTAAATACTCTACGTAGTACTATCAGCACAAGTAGTACACAGTACAGTAATAAAAAAGGGAGCAGTTTTCAGTGAAAAACTGATCTTGATTGCTATTCCAGTACAAACTCATGTAGAAAACACCGTAGAAATATTGATTTGCAGGGGGAAACAAGCAAAACACCAGCATCCGTATCGTATCAGCGGTTTGCTCCTCCGTATCGTATCAGCGGTTTGCTTGCTCCTCCGTATCGTATCAGCGGTTTGCTTGCTCCTCCGTATCGTATCAGCGGTTTGCTCGCTCCTCCGTATCGTATCAGCGCTGGCTCCTCCGTATTGTATCAGCGGTTTGCTCGCTCCTCCATATCGCATCAGCGAGCGTCCTCCGTATCATATCAGCGAGGGACCGGGGAGGGAAAAGAGCCCATTCCCCTATATAGGAGGAGGCAGTGCTTGTAGTTCATTTGCTGTTTAGTAACCTCGCGCTGCGTGGTTACATGTAAATTTCGATGCTACTCAATCGGTTACGTAAATAACTGTGGCATCGCATCGGTCCCGCGCTGCAAGTACTGTCTTCAGCAACAGCACCACCAACAAGCTCGAGAGCTAAAGCTCTCGAGCTTGTTGGTGGTGCTGTTGCTGAAGACAGTACTTGCAGTAACCTCACTTCGATCTCGAGCAAGCTCTCGATCTCAGTGATGTTACTGGTGTACCATAAATGTAACCAGAATGTGTACTCTGTTGAGCTCCGTGTTATTTGTGTGGGAAAAATTTTGTACTGTGCGCTCTCGAGCTTTAGCTCTCGAGCGCACAGTACAAAATTTTTCCCACACAAATAACACGGAGCTCAACAGAGTACACATTCTGGTTACATTTATGGTACACGCGCGGACCGTGCGACGCCACAGTTACTCTACATACCGGAACCGGTATTATTTCTCCCTAAACACTCAACATCAAAAGATTCGACGCAATTCATTCCAACAGCAATTTACTGTATTGAGCCTCGATAGAGCAACAATATCTTCATCTTTCTTACTTCCGCGAGAATAGCCGCCTAAATTTATTCGGCGCATTTAGATAATCGATCAATTCGGCTGCGTCGTTGTGATGCCTTCGATTCCGCCGTTCAGAAAGCGGAAACAAGGAAAACCGTCATACTTTCTCTTCGCCCTGAGGCGGCCAATGACGAGGGCAATCCTAGCGCTGATTGCTGGTGCTACAATATACGTGCTTTTATTTCGTATCTTTGTACGAAAAATTCCACAATACAACAATTTGGCACAGGGCGGGAATGCCGYTGTTTCCAAAGCTTGCTTGCTGAGAGACTCTGTGACAAGTAGATCACATACACAGGTTTCTCATCAAAGTTTTGATAGTAGAAAACGAGATTACAAATCCGCCAAAAAGGGCGATTTATTTCGAATACTGTGCACATCAACTCGAAGAAAGATAAGGTGGGGGTCTTATCAACTACGTTGTCGAGATCTGAAAGCATGGGCAWCCAAATGTACGAAGAATGTGAATATTGTGACTGACATTTCTTTTGAGGATTTACAAAGWCAAAGATGGATTCGATACTTATTTGGTCAACTAAGAGAAGAAGAGAAGATACCATACGATGCCACTGTGTTTATTAAGTCTTTCCCGAGGAAAGGAAAAATACTACCAATTTACGGAAAGATGTACATTGACATGGTTGATGCATACGGATATGGTGACGAAGACGTCCCTAACGAGATGAATCTGATACTACAAACAGAATGGCAAGGGAGAGAGGTGTTTCCTAGTCATAATTTCACCGCTGTTGAGCATTGGTACAATAGTTTCCCCGCCGATATGGCTCTCTCTGGTCCACCTGAAAACATACCTTCCATATCTCATCAAGCAAACATCAAGATCGCAACTGTTTGGAATACGAGACGAGGAAAGGTCCCTACCGAAGGAGGGTGTCCTAAAATATCAAGCCAACTAAATGTATCGTATCAATGTCTAGATAAACCTTTYGATATTTCAAGTTGGTACCTGGAATTATTCAAAGAAGGAAAAGATAAATGTGAGATGGAACAAACGCTTGCAAATCCACAACTCGGGCCAGGAATGTTGTATTACAATGTTTTTCGCAAGTTCGATGCTCTGGTGGTATTGGCGAAGAACGATACGATGAAATTRAAATACGGGAACGTGCAAAGAGCCGTTAGCCAGATGAGGAGTGGAGTACCAGTCTTAATCGAAATTCGGGGCAAGGTGCTACAGGATTTTGTTGAACGCTTCAACTATCCTTGCACCTTTCAGAGATATGATGACGATTCTATCTCAACGAAATCCTCCGGTGATCGAATGTATAAGCACTGGTCGTTTAACGAGGCAGTTGAGCAGCTAAAAGATCCAACGATAAGGCAGAAATGCCAGGAACAGGGTTTGGTGATCGCAAAGAACTACGCCCCTTCAAGGATAGCCAAAAAATTCCTTCGAGCAGTAGGCTTTACCGGCGATTTTCTTTGTTAAATTTTTCCCATCGCGTGTTGCCAAATGTTACCACCTGGAAAATTTTAGGATTTTTTTTTTCTTTCTTTGCTACTACTACTCTACTACTACTCTACTTTTCACACCCCTCCCATCACTATGAACAATATTATAAGAATATATATTAACAAATATARATATATTCATTTATAACACATTACTACACTTAATGGTTGAAGTTACTCCAATGATCTTTACATACAGCAACATTGCAACTTCTGCAACCATTCATTGATATTTTTATACTAAGTGCAAATCCATGGTGGTGGCAACTTAATCAATCACCTCACARATGAGTTAGGATACCTATGCTTTGCTTCTTCTACACWCACAACACAAYAGTTCCTCTTTACTCCTTCATACTTACCACTACATCTTTCTTTATGTGGCTTTGACATTACCTTTCCATGAGCAATGGTGCTGGTCTTCTTGTTCACAGAGAAGAAACAAATCCCCCAATTGCAAGGGTGATATTTTCCATTCTTTTAAGTCTGAGGCATCCACTTTGGCTTAGAACCTTCATCATATGGAGCTTTCCAGTCCATTTCAATACCTCTTTTCATCAATGCAATGCCAAGATGAGATTGAAACTTTTTCCTACCGTTGTTGTGTTTTGATTTGTATAGTATCTTCCATTCCTTCATAAACTTATCACATGCTAGGCTAGTGACAATTATGTAGCAGGAGTGTACCAGTCTATCAAGCAACCAGAAGAAAATACAAAGGTACCATCTGATACCCATCCATATTCTTCATATAGCTTCATCACAACTTTCATTGTAGTGTAGAAGTTGTCCATGCTGAACAGTCGACAGCCATTTTGTTGTCCAAGATTGGATTGACGTACCAACTACTGAATAACATCCTATGTAGACCAACTACTAGTAATACCAGTGTAGATCTCAAATGCAATTAAGTTCCCAGTGTCAGCATCACACACACAATACAGCTTGTTAATACCATGCTTGATTGGCTTCTTGGGAAGATACTGGACAAATTGAATGGATCTTCCTTTGTAAACAATCATAGACTCATCAACAGATAGGTCAATATTTGCATGCCACCCAAGACAAAGACAATCAGCAATTTTCTCCATCTGTTCTTCCMCATTGTATTCCTGACCATGGGCGGGAACATACACACCACCATCCTCAAGACAAGTCCAAAGAAATTGGGGAGATTCTTTTGAACCACCTAAACCTCCATAGCAGATGCAAATACCATGCCAGGCAAGGATGTAACCAGAAGTGAAGTTCCATTGGTCTTTGACTGAATGTAGAACATGCTTTTGTTTGTTGGGATTGGTAACATCACAGAGCTTGAGCATCTTTGTCTTCTTTACCCTTCTAGCATTAGCATCAGTAGCTTCAACTTCTGTCACCCAATCTTCAAACGCATACTGGTTGGACTCATTTGCTATCATCTGAAGGATTTTTTCATCAAACAAGAACAAAACAAAAGTGCCAACCCCTCCACCTTATTAGTGTASCCATCCAATGAATTGCTTACAGCATGGGTGGGACCTGGGGCCRTACCTCCTCCAGGTGATGTATACTYGACATTGGGAGGAGGATAMTATTCCTCTGCATCATCACCCAGCTTCCAATCTTCATTTGGTATTTCTGTCAAATCCTCCTCATGCCTAAACCAGTTCTGCTCCTTCACTGACCAGATACTCTCAATTGTCAAAATTGCTTCATATCCTTGTACTTTGAAAAGTCATCACAGGCTATTACTTAAGCCCATACAATCTTCCAAAGAATTATGTGCATTTGTAAGCTCTTCACCTGTGGCATGTTTATGTAGTAGAG